CATGTCAAATTTGGCCCTACCCTTTTTTTAGGTTACACTTTGTGTCTATTCCTGGCCAAACACTGCTTTTTCAAAACTGTGCACCGCGTCTACACTGGCTTAAACACTGCACTTTGCATTCGACAAATTGCTGCTAGCAGAAAAGTACCAATAGCACGTTGTCTCTTTTCAACACATAACCAAAAAATAAGCAACAGCAGTCAAATTTTTATTATGTTCCTCGCACGCACACACACACAAACACACAATAATCATGAAAAAGAGATCAAAAGGAGCTGCTCAGTCCCGGATCAACAATGACGCACGAGCAACAATATACAAACACACACACACACACACACACACACATACTTCATCATACAAGCACTTCTCTCTCATAAAATATATTTCAGTTGCAATACAGACAACATTTGCACATAAAACTGCAGTAAGCAGTCAGAGATAGAAAAAAACTTAGTGGTCTAGTGGTTAAATGCGGAAAGGTGATGAGGGATTTAATGAAAAAATCCCAAGTGAAGCACCTGCTCGGGTGGAAACCTGCTCTGCGTGGAAGTACATTCAAAGCCCAAAGCTGTACTTAACATGACTGGGAGTGCCCGTATGTGCGGTCGAACTTGCTCGGAAAGAACCCGGAAAAGGGCAGAAGGCCTGCATTCTCCCCGCCCCTGACTCCCTCAATTCAGCAGAATCCTTTGGTACGGCTAGCGACACCCGTTTGAGCTCTTTTGATGACCATAATGCAAATTTAATAAGTTTCAGATTAGTTTTTACTGACAGACCTCCCGCAATCCACCAACTACTTGATGCGCTCCTATACGGCTTTTTCTCAAAAACTCCTGAGCCCGATTTGAAATCCGCTACATTCCAGTCAGATTTGTCATCACTGGTACCTCGCTGATCCACTGGGGACTGCGAAGCAGAAGTGGTGTCCAGCCAATACTGGAATTTTCACTTTCGGCCTTAAAAGTGCGGAAAAAGCGAGCAAAAGAAACACGAAAAACTGAAGACGTTCAAAATTCGTAATCAAAAGAGGGGGGAGGGCAGAGCGACATTACCGGAGGAGCAAAAATTTAGCAAATAATCGTGAAAGTTTGCAGGAAATAACATGGAATTTTAGCAAGACAGCAAAAAATTCAAAATGAGAGTGTTAAACAGCGCTAAACATCGATAAAAAAACATGATGAATGGGCGAAAAAGTCAATTGTTTGGCGATAGGACGTTCAAAATTTTGAGAAATGAGGCGAAAAGCAGCGGAGGTATATGACGTTTTGGCTGGAAATCTTGCTCAATGATTTTTTCCATTCAGACGAACCTGAGACACAGAAGAGAATTTTCAACCGCCAGAATCCCTCTTAGGCAGGAGGCGAACGAAGTGAATGACAAAATTAAAGCTCAATTATCGCGAGAAGCTCCCATGCGTCAGGAATAACAAGTGACTTCCCGGATTTCTTCGCCTCATTTCCCCGAAATGTTTCTGCCGTCACCACTTTTTAAAACGATTCAAGCAGCCACATCTCATCAAACGAATAGAGCAAATTAGTAAATAAACATAACAATTGGCTAAAATGTTATTTTTCACGACTTTGGATTAGTGGTGGAATCAAGAACGCATATTGCCAAGAAAATTTGTTAAAAAATCGATGTCTCAAGTTGTCAATGCGCTTCAGAACGAATTCCGCTGACACTCTGTTTTGATACTACGATTAGCTGCTGTTTCATCGTCGCGTTTCTTCTCGCCAATGATATGCGCTCTTTACCAATATTCTAGACCTTCCTTTTTCAAAAAAATTCACATAACAGTTTAGCGAATCATTTAATTTCCAAATAGACGCTCCGTTCGAATCGCTGATAAACTGATAAACAGCAAAAATTTGCTATGTCAGCCCTAGATCCTCCCAACTGCTCTCTAAATTTGTGTTTGTGTTGTACAGATTTTCAAAAGTTGGTTAGTGGTATCCAAGAAGCCAGTCGATCATATCCACGTACTCAATGTTAGCAAAGGGAGCAACAAATTCGCGCATCCGATACATCATGAACAGTGAAGGCCGCGTAACAGTTGGTGAAAGACACAAGGAATACA